GCCTCCCCGTGTCCCACCAGCTTAGCCTTCGCAGACTCCCGGCTTTATACTCATGGGGATCCTGTTCCTCCCTTCCCCTTCCCTTACAGCAGAACCTATCTCCGCCAGACAGCCAGCTCTGCGACCCCACGTCCACAAGCAGCCCGAGAAGACCACCCGAGTCCGGACTGTCCTCAATGAAAAACAGCTTCACACCTTGAGGACCTGCTACGCTGCCAACCCCAGACCTGACGCCCTCATGAAAGAGCAACTGGTAGAAATGACTGGCCTCAGTCCGAGGGTCATCAGGGTTTGGTTTCAAAACAAGCGGTGCAAGGACAAAAAAAGGAGCATTATGATGAAGCAACTTCAGCAACAGCAACCCAATGACAAAACTGTAAGTGGCCTGAGCCTCTGACGGTGCCCTGCCTTCCTTCCCAAGGAGAACAGCCTGGGCTGTGTCCAGCCCGGCCAGCCTCTGGGGTCGGTTTTGACGCTTTTGATTCTGTGGGAGCTCCCGTAAAGACAAAGAAAATGATAACTCTTGTCCGCTTGTTTCTGCTGTCAGTGCAATTAAACCCGATCACAGCGAGAAGCCCGTATAGGCTGCTCAAGTGAACACATGTCTTTTTGTGGGGCTATGGCTACGCAGTGGATTAGACTAACTTCTCTGCAGCATGAATTGCGACCTGCAGAGTTTACGGGATGTAATAAGCCGAGCCTTGTGTAATATTTACATTGCAAATGCAAAGGACTCCTTGAGGGGAAAAAGACGCTTTCGCCCTCGTCAATGGTTTTGCAGAGGAGTAAACCCAGAAGTAAAACCCCTGAGTAAAAGGGAAATTTGATGTATTTTCTTAGCACTTTATACACTACGATTTGTGTGTGTTTATCAGTGCACTCACTGTAGAAAAAAGACAAACTCAATGCAAAGTTTTTTGAAATTACCGTCGTGTTTACAGGTGACTTAAAATACGTTTAGTTCTCCGCAGATATATGTCCAGTTCTTGTCTGCAGGCATATGCAGTTATGATGCAAACAAGCAGAAAGCGCTGGATTCAGCGCAGAAAAGTGGCTGTCTCCGTTTTAAGCCAACTTTTTTCTTTTTTCTTTTTTTTTTTTTTCTGTTTTTGTTAGTCCACTTGAAGAAGAGTCTGTTATTCTCCCTGTGTATATTGACTGACCTGAGAATGACTATTAATTCATAAGGCTGCCTAGTTAAGTGGAATTTAAGGAGTTTCATTTTACCCTGTTGGAATGCAATAAAACACGATGTTATTAACTTGCCTGAACAATCTATTCGTCGAGACTTGGAGTTACTTTGTCCACAGTGTCTGCACCACAGGGCATACTGGGAGGGCTGGGGTTTCTTTTTTCTTTTCTTTTCTTTTCTTTTTTTTTTTTTTTTTTTTTTTAAAAGACATGGTTGTGGGTTC